AAGACAGGTGGATGTGACTTGGAGTCCAAAGGAACCAGCTTAGGTCTTGCTCAGATATTAAACTCCAGCCCTCGATATGTTGTCCCCACAGCAGCCCCTCTACTCTAAAATTTGAGGAGTCACCTGCTTTTCACCCAAGGGTGCTGAATAGCTCTACCCAGGTAAAGTGATCTCTGGGTCAGATGGCATCACACCACCAAAAAAAAAAAAAAGAGAGAGAAATGAAATATAGAGCAGAAACAGAAATAAAAAATAAAATGGTAGACTTAAGCCCTAATATATCAATAATTACATAAATGTGAATGGTCTAAATACATAAAAGACAGAGATTGGCAAAGTGGATTAAAAAGTATGACCTAACTATATGCTGTCCATAAGAAACTCATTTCAATTGTAATGATGTAGCAGGTAGAAAAACAATGGATACAAAAAGATGATATATCATATAAATAATAACCAAGAGTGCAGGATAGGCTATACTAATATCAGATAAAGCAGACTTCAGAGCAAAGAAAATTATCAATGACAGAGGGGAATATGATGTAATCATAAAAGGGTCAACCAATCAAGAAGACATAGCAATCCTAAATATGTATGCAAATAACAGAGCTGCAAAATATGTAAAGCAAAGATTGATAGAAATGAAAGGATAGATAAACCCACAGTTACAGCTGGAGATTTCAACAACTCTACTCTCAACAATGGATGGAAATAGAAAATCAGCAAGTATACAAGAGAATGCAACACCACCATAAATCAAGAGGATCTAATCAACATTTCTAGAACATGCCACCTCCAAAAGCAGAACCAGAGAAGATATGCAAAGACAGACAATATTCTGGGCCATAAAACAAACCTCAACACATTTATAAGAATTGAAATTACAGAGAATGTGTTTTCCAGCCATAACAGAATCAAAGTGGAAGTCAACAACAGAAAGATAACAGAAAAATCTCCAAACATTTGGAAATTAAAACACTTCTAAATAATCCATGGGCCTAGGAGGAAGTCTCAAGGGAAATCAATAAATGCAATGAAATGAATTAAAATAAAAATATAACAAAATTGTGAGACAGTCAAAGTAGTGCTGAGAGGAAAACTGAAAGCACTAAAAATGCATACCCACAAAGAGGAAAATTATTAAGCTAATAAACTCCCACTTCAACTTCCTAGGAAAAAAGCAAAATAAATCCAAAGAAAGTGGAAGGAAGGAATAAAGATAACAGTGGAAATCAGTGAATTAGAAAACAGAAAAACAATAGAGAAAAAGCATTGAATTCTGTCAAATATTTAAAGAATGAACACCCAATCCTTGAAAACTCTTGCAAAAAATAGAAGAGATGAGGATACTTAGCAACTCATTCTATGAGGCTAGTATTACCTTGTTACCAAAACCAGACAAAGACAACACAAGAAAAGAAAATTAAAGATCAATAGCCCTTATGAATATAGATGCAAGATCCTCAACAAAATACTAGCAAATTAATTCCGACAACTTACAAAAAGGATTACATACTATGACTATGCAGTAAAGGATTAATTTTGTCCAAAGTGAGGTCTGGCCTTTGCCCATGGCTCCTAGGAAGGATTCTCTAAGTCCTTGGAATGTCCTGCCTGAAAGATTTTTTGCCTACCTGGGGGCCTTGGGCAATGTGGTTCAACTCAACCTACGGAAGGACAGGAAGGGGTGGACCACGCATAAGGTCAACCACGTGAGTGGTTAGCCATGTCTAAGTGACTAAGCTCGAATAAATCTCTGGATACCAGGTTCAGGTGAGCTTCCCCTGTTGACAATACTCTAAGCATCTTTTCACGCACTGTTGTTGGGAGAAGTAAGCGCCGTCCACATAATTCCTACTGGGTGAGAACAACAGGAAGGTGCGTACTTGGAACTCTCCTTGATGTGCCCTATAGGCCTCTTCCTTTGGCTGATTTTAATTTGTTTCCTTTGCTATAATAAACCATAACTGTGAGTATAACAGCTTTCAACAAGTTCTATGAATCCTTCTAGAGAATTATGGAACCTAAAGGTATTCTTGGAGACCCTCAAACTTTGTAATAACCAAGTAGGATTTACCCAAGGAATGTCGTAAAGTTGGTTCAATATATGAAAAATCAATGAAATAGGCCACATTAATAGAATAAATGACAAAAATCACACGATCATCTTAATAGATGCAAAGAAAGCACTTGACAAAATCTAATACCTTTTGATGATAAAAATACTCAACAAACTAGAAAGAAAAGGGACCTTCCTCAAATTGTAGATAAAGGACATCTACAAAAAACCTCAATTAACATCATACTTAATGGTGAAAGACTGAAAGCTTTCCTTCTAAGATGGGAACAAAACAAGGAGGTCTGCTCTTGCCACTTCTATTTAACACTGTACCAGAGGTTCTAGCCAGGGCAACTGACAAGAATGTGAAGTGAAACGTATCCGGATTGGAGAAGAAGAAATAAAACTACCTCTATTTACAGATGGCATGATTTTGTATACAGAAAATACTCAAGAGTCCACAAAAAACCCATCCGAGCTAATAAACAAGTTCAGCAAGGTTGCAGTATATAAAACTAGCAATTGAAAACTAACAATCTGAAAAGGAAATTGAGAAAATAATTTCATTAACAACAGTGTCAAAAAGAATACAATACTCAGGAGTATATTTTAACCAAAGAAGTGCAAGACTTGCACATTAAAACTATAAAACATTGTTGAACAAAATTAAAGAAGATCTAAATAAATAGAAAGCCACCCTGTGTTCAGAGATGTTAAGATGGCGATACTTTCCAAAAATGGTTTACAGATTCAATGCAATCCCCATCAGAATCCCAGCTGGCTTCTTGGAGGAGATTGATAAGCCGAACCTAAAATTCAAATGGAAATGCAAGGGACCCTGAATAACCAAAACAATCTCGAAAAAGAACAAAGTTGGAGTTGGAGGACTTACATGCCCTAATTTCAAAACTTACTACAAAGTCATAGTAATCAAAACAGTGTGATACTGTTACAGAATAGAACAGACAGACATACAGACCAATGGAATAGAATAGAGAGCCCAAAAATAAACCCTTAATTTTCAACGAGGGTGCGAAGACTAGTCAATAGTAAAAGAACAGTGTATTTAACAAATGGTGCTGGGAAAACTGGATATCCATAAGCAAAAGAATGAAGTTGGACCTTTACCTAATGTCATACAAAAATTTACTCAAAATGGATCAAAGACCTAAACCTAAGAGCTAAAACTATAAAACTCTTAGAACAAAACACAGGTGAAAAGCTTTATGACCTTGGGTTGGGCAATGATTTCTTGGATGTGACATGAAAACACAGGCAACGAAAGAAAAAATAGACAAATTGGACTTCATTAAAATTTAAAGTTTATGCATCAAAGAATATGAGTAACAGACTAAAAAGGCAACCCACAGAATGGGAGAAAATATTTGCAAGTCACATATCTGACAAGAGATTAATATCTAGAATACATAAAGAACTTCTAAAACTGAACACCAAAAAAGCAAACAACTCATTTCAAAAATGGGCAAAAGGAACTGAATGGACATTTCTCTAATGAAGATATACAAATGGCTAATAAGCACGTGAAAAGACTATCAACAGGGGCCGGCCCGGTGGTGCAGCGGTTAAGTGCGCACATTCCACTTCAGCGGCCCGGGGTTCGCCAGTTCGGATCCTGGGTATGGACATGGCACTGCTTGGCACGCCATGCTGTGGTAGGTGTCCCACATATAAAATAGAGGAAGATGGGCACGGATGTTAGCTCAGGGCCAGCCTTCCTCAGCAAAAAGAGGAGGAATGACAGCAGTTAGCTCAGGGCTAATCTTCCTCCAAAAAAAAAAAAGAAAGAAAAGATTATCAACATCGCTACTCATTAGGGAAATGAAAATCAAAAACACAACGAGATACCACTTCACAATCAGTAGAGTGACTATTATAAAGAAAAAAAAGGGAAAATAAGTACTGGTGAGGATGTGAAGCAACTGGAACCCTTGTACATCGCTGGTGGGAATGTAAAATGGTGCAGCCACTGTGGAGAAGAGATTGGCAGTTCCTCAAAAAGTTAAAAATGGACTCGCCATGTGACTCAGCAATCCCAGTCCTAGGTGTGCAATCAAGAGAACTACAAACATACACCGCACCAAAAACCAAAAACCTAAACACAGATGTTCACAGCAGCATTACTTATAATAGCCCAAAAGTGAAAAACATCCAAAAGTGGATCAAGTGTTAAGAGGATAAATAAACGATGGGCATACCTTGCTTTACTGCACTTCACAGATACTGCATTTTTCACAAGACCTTTCACAAAGATTTTGACTTGCTGAAGGCTCAGATGAAGGTTAGCATTCTTTAGCAATACAGTTTTTTTCATTAAGGTATGTGCATTGGTTTTTTAGACATAAAGCTATTGCACACTTAAGAGACTACAGTATAGCATAAACATAGCTTCTACATGCACGTGAATCAAAAAAATTAATGTGATTTGCTCAATTGTGATATTTGTTTTATTGCAGTGGTCTGGAAATGAACCCACAATATCGCTGAGGTATGCCTGTATGAAATATTACTCAGCTATGAAAAGGAATGAAGGGTCAAAATTGCTAAAATATAGATGAACCTTGAAGAAATTATACTAAGTGAAAGAAGGGAGTCACAAAAGGCCACATCTTGTATGATTCCAAATATATTAAAGACCTAGAATAAGCAAATTCATTGAGACAGAAAGCAGATGGTGGTTTCCAGGGACTGGGAGGAGAAAGGAATGGGGTTTCTTTTGGGGATGATGAAAATGTTTTGAAATTAGGTAGTGATGACGGTTACACAACTTTGTGAATATAACTAAACACCATTGACTTGTACTCCTTAAAAGATGAATTATATGATATGTGAATTATTTAATAAAAAGAAAAATTAAATAAAAAGTTTAATTTACAAAAAAGATTCAGAACAACTACTACTTGAAGTTGAACAGACAGCTCACCTGCTCATAGATCTCAATGGCTTTCTGGTACTGCTCAAGCTGGGCGGCATATGCTGCCACCTTCAGCAGACACTTGTTAGCTGAACTGAAACCAAGAACCAGAGCAGAGTAAATAACAGTCTGATAGAAAAATAAAAAGACATCCCAATACACCTCCATTTGGTCCAATACACTGAAAGAATACAGTGAAGGTTTGTCTTTTACCATATGTAACAAAATCCATTTAATTACATTAAGAAAAATACTTGCCTGTTGGATTCTTCTCCTTTGTAATAATCAGCCGATTGTTCATAATGTGCGATAGCCTGAAAACACACACGTTTTATTCAAACTACTTGTTTGAAGAGTTGCATTTAAAAACTACATTTGTATAGGTATTTTTTCCTATAAAAAACCCAATTCCACCAGCAAATCTTTCACAACTTGGCCTACTTTATTTAGGGAACACAAGAAAGCATGCACCTCTGGAAGCCTAATGGCAGAATGCTCTCTGTCCATCAAAATCTCTTCTTCCCCTCCCTCATGGCAAATTCCCAGCTGCACCACTTCCCCCACTGCAGCCCCCACTGCCCTTAGTGGTAGCCATGTGACGCATTCTTTCCAGTGGAATGTAAACAGATATGCTATAGGCTACTTCCAGGCTTGGCCCATCCATCTGACTGTGCATCCTTCTCAAGGCCTTTTCCCCTTCCCATGAGGCAGAGCAGCAATGACCAAGTCTAGAGTGACACTTCACAAGCTGAAGATGGCAGAACTTCCGTCAATCTGGCTCCTAAAAACTACAAAGGGCAGAATGTACCCCAACCCCCATGTCCCCACGACTGTCAAACCCAGAACAGTTACAATGGATTGTTATTTTAGAGACATATGAAGCCCTACTACACTTTAGATCCATGGCTTGCTACAGCAGCACAGACTATCCTCACCATTACCATATGTGTTATCTAGAGTAAGGGTGATGCCTTCAATCTAAAATGTTGGTGCTGAATTAACAGTCAAGAGGAAAGGAAACAGAAATTGCAGGCTGGAAAGCTAGAAGCCCTTGTCATTCTGTGGCATGAGACTTGGTGAAATCAACCATGCAACAATCTGGAAGGCAAAACACAAGCCTCCTGGAACTAGAAAACCCTATGGGAAGAAGCTCTGTGTATACAGCCAGTGCCAGTTTGTATTACTGTTTTCAGCAAGATTTTGTAAGAAAGAAGAACTCTGGAAAGAATTAGCCTGTTTGTAGGCAGTTATGAAAGGAAGGAGAAAGTCCAGAAACAGAGAGCCTCATCAGATGGAAAGGCCAATGGCTTCTATACCCCAAATGGCAAGAGGTAAGTTTGAACAACGTTTTAAACTAGGAGTCTGGCAAACTTTTCTGTAACAGGCCAGATAATAAATATTTTAGGCTTTGTGAGCCATATGATCTGTTGCAACTACTTAGCTCTCCTAAAGTAGCACAAAAGTGGCCAGAGATGATATATAAATGAATGAGTGTGGCTGTGTTCCAATAAACTTTATCTATGGACAATGAAATTACAATTTTATATAATTTTTGTGTGTTATAAAATGTTTTTTTCCCATCAATAATTAAAAATGTGAAAACCATTCTTAGCTTGGAAGTGTACATAAATAGGTGGTGGGTTTGCAGACCCCTGCCTTAAGTTTCAAGGTTTTCCCAGTAAGCCCAAAAGGGGGAGGCAGTATCATGCAAAAATCAGATTACAAGTGCTGCCTTCCCACTTGAGACTATCAGTTCAATGACTTCACGGCAGCCCTAATGAGTTAAAAGAGGCCCAGAGACAAGAAAACAACAAGTGAAATAAAACAGGCTAGGGAACTCTGTTGGAAAGCCACTTTGGGGTGGTTTCTGGTCAGCAAGCTGACTGGAAACAAAGAGACTTGGCTCGTAAAGCCTCAGACCCTCTCTCCTACAGGCGGTAGTGATAATGACCAAGAGAGCAGAGCCACCTCTGAAGCCACAGGCTGAAGGGCGCAGAGTCAACATTAGCCCAGTCTGGCTGCAGAGCACCACGGACAGTTTGTGAAAAGCAGACACTTCTGTGTTTGAATGATTATGTTTTGCATCTATTTGTTTCAGTCATTTAGCCTACCCTGACTAACATGCTCCCCTGCCAATTTTATCAGCATTATTTGTTTTGTTTAAAGATTTTTTTTTTCCTCTTTCTCCCCAAAGCCCCCCGGTACATAGTTGTATATTCTTCATTGCGGGTCCTTCTAGTTGTGGCACGTGGGATGCTGCCTCAGCGTGGCTTGATGAGCAGTGCCAGGTCCACACCCAGAATTCGAACCAACAAAACACTGGGCCGCCTGCAGCGGAGCACACAAACTTAACCACTCGGCCATGGGGCCAGCCCCGATCAGCATTATTTGTAATAGGAGAAAAACTAGAAACAATTTAAAGGATTAAATATAATGGGCAATATGCCATGATTAAAACTAACAGAGAGAAAGCTCAATATGGAAAGTTCTTCATGAAATATTAAATTAAACAGCCATAAAAGAACAGGTACACTACAGTCCTCTTTTTACAAATATACTATAGAGGCACCCAGAAAATGCCTGGTAGAATATATTCCTTTGGAGTACAAGTCAGAGCTGTCACAAACATACACGTATGAGATTATCTGAGGAAGGCACATCTTCTCCCACTAAAATGTAAGCTCTGTGAGGGTAGGTTTCCTCGGGGTTTTGCTCACCATTCTGTCCCAGAGTCCAGCACAATGTCTGTCATACAGTAGGTGCTCAACAAACAGATGCTAGGTGAATGAATGAAACTGTACTTCAAGTAAGGGTCCCCTACTAACTACTGCCAATATCTGGGTTAATCCGAATGCCCAGCAGAGAGAAGTTTTTCGGTGAATTGATGATTAATCAAAAATAATCTTTGAACTGTCCTCACTCTCCCAAGTATATAGCACTCTTTCCCATCACCATAAATGGGGTGAGGTATGAGAAACGTCCAAATCTTTCTGTAGATTATCAGATTATAAGAACCTCTTCCCAGAGAGGGAGTGTAGCTACTTATCTTCCTAGTTCTTACAGCACCAGAATTCAAGGAATAGGGTTCAGTTAAACCATATGTAACTGCTGTTTTGGAGGTTAAAAAAAAAGGTCTAATGTCAACAGTTTGGTTTAACCTGACACTAGATAATGGTATTGGTTCATTGAAATGTTATAACTGTAAACTACAGCTAGATTTATCACATAAAAGAAAAACTTAGTTTGGTTTTTAATAACGCTAATTAAACCAACAATCAAATTGCATGGTTTTCCCAAGTTTTGACAGAGACTGGAATTGAAAGGAAAGCTTATCTACTGGCTTAACAGAAGTTTCAGAGAAGAGAGAACGGCCACAGGTTATCTTTGTATGTTTACAGGCAGTTTGAAATTTTAACATGTAGTAAAACTTACCAGGCACAAGTAGACCCTTACACACTAGAAATCAGCCCACTGTATCTTACAATTTCAAGGATAATAATAAATAACCAAAATAGAACACAGTCACCAATAACGGCAGCACAATAATGATAAATCCAGACATGAAACCAGCTTGATTATCCTATTATTTAAGTAGCATGCCCAAAGAATCACAATATTCCTTTTTGGGGAATCTGGTACGTATCATGATGCTGGAGAATACATGGATCCTGAAATGAGACAAGGTTCTCTAGGACTGCAGTCATCATTGGTGTCTTAAAGCAAATGCAATTTCCAGGGTTCAAGCTCAAAAGTCCACTTTGTAGGTGAAACAGCCTTAAACAGCCTTCAGATGGGATCAATTCTTTTAGAACATATACCCCGAGACAGGACCTAACATGAACTTGCCACAGACACCTATCCTACATTGTAACAAACAGTATGGAAATCATATTCTCTAGGGGCTGAAACACAAGTGAGTCAAAGTTCCTCTTGACATTTTAACAGACCCTTTAAAAATGACCAATTTATTATTTGGTTCAGTGTTTTACTTCAGGAAGTCAAAGAAGTAATGTGAGTATAAGAAACTTCACACTTCATGATTCACTAGCTAAAAATCTGTGAATGAGTCAGAGAACATACAGTGGCCAGTATGAAAAGGGAAGAAATTCATTTGTAATAAATCAGATAAAAGGTATCTTGGTGTGTCTGATTTTTCAAATTTAAACTTCATACACCATCAACCACACTACAGTGAGTCCCACCAGGGAAGCGAAGGCAATGATGTTTCTAAATACAAGAGCCCAAACATCAGGGAACATGAGAAGTTAACCTTGTGTGTGTGTTGAGTAATATTCTTAAATTGCTTTTAAAAGAACACATCATATCAATAAAGAAGATGCCACCTACTGGCCAGCTCACAGAATGGCAGGAACACCATGAGTAACAGGGGCCTCAGAAACTGCCATGACAAATCATCAATTTTTAGAAAAAAGAAGGAACACAAGACTGAGTATTCATTTTACCTACCCTGCATTTTAAGGAGATCCATGTGGTGAAGTGGCTGCCTGACACCGTGCCCCGGCAACAGAGATGGCATAGTGCTATGGGCTCCTGTCTCCAGAGTCATCTTCTGACCCCCGGGGACAAGGAGCTGATGAAGCAGCCTCAGGTGGCAAGATGCCCTGTGCACGAGTGCTTGTCTGCCCAAGATGATTCAACCTCAATAAAGATGTAGTGCCCATCTAAGACACCCCGATCAAATAAATATCCCAGCCACACCAGAGCCATCTCCTTCCTGTTTCCTCATCAACTCCACACCAGGGAACAAAGAAGGGCTCTGGTCTGGGCTCATCATCTCCTTGCATGGTCTGCAGATACCCTCTCCAAAGAGAAGATGCACATGCACATGCCAATGCAACTGTTAGCCTTGATCTTGTCAAGATCAGAGGGTAGCCTTGGAAAAGCATGGCATATTATGATAAAAACAGCCAAATAATGAATTCTATGTAACAAGTCAGCAAATTTTGTGCTGTATATCCAAAAGCTGGTGGTCAGCATGAAGTCAGAGGGTGAAGGTTAACCACGCCAGTCCAACTTTAGAACTAAGAGATGCCTCCGTGAACCAAGAAAGACTCCATTTGCTCTGGCAGGTACACTGTTACGGCAGAGATGGGGACGTTGTTTGTTGATTTATTAGAACCTACTATGTCCCAGAGCTCTACGCTCTTGGGATAGATCAGTAAACCAGAGGCAAAGCTCCCTGTTGACATGGGCGCCCACTCTAGTGGAGAGATGATGAATCACAGGAATGATGAGCAAGCATATTGTAGCACATGATACAAGGTGACCCGTGCAATGCAAAAAAAAGAAAAAGCTGACGTAGGTGGAGGTACCTGAGTATGTATTTGTGAGGGGCTGAGGTTCCAACTTTAAGTGGTCATTACAGATCTCATGGAAAAGATGACAAATGAGCAAAAATCTGAAGGACAAGAGGAAGTCAGCTACATGGACATCTAGGGAGCTCTTCAGGCAGAGGGAACAGTCGGGGGAAGGTCCTGAGGCAGGAGCTCATCTGGCATGTGTGAGGATCAGCAAAGAGGTCAGGGTGGCCGCAGTGAGGTACAGTGTGGGGAGGAAGGAGAAGAGGAAGAGGAGAGGCCTGAGAGGCGAGGGGGCATCTGCAAGGTTCTGGCTGTGCCTCTGACTAAAAGGAGGCCAATACCAGGTGGTGAGCAGGGGAGAAACAATCTGATTTACTGTGTACAAGGATCACTCTGGCTGCTCTGTAACACAGTAGAGGGCACAAGTAAAAGCAGAGAGGCCAGTTTAGAAACTACTTCCATGATCCAGTGAAAGCTAGGGGACAACAAGGCAGTGAGAAGTGCACAGACTCAGGAACTTTGAGGACAGTGCCCACAAAAACTGCTCACAGACTGGATGTGGAGAAAGAAGGCAAGGAGGCCTGTGGTTTGGAGGGGAACATAGGAGTGGGAGGTAGGGCAAGATCAGAATGCAGTCTCAGACATGCTGGGTTTAAGATGACTGTTGGACACAAGTAGAGAGATTGGCAGACAGGGGCATACAGGAATGTGAAATTCAAAAGAGGTCTGCACTGCAGACAGATAGAAGAGGCACCAGCCAAGGAGCCGGGAGAGAGCACTCAGCGAGGTGGCCGCAGAGCCAGGTGGAGGCGGTGTTCCAGAAGCCACTGAGGGAAGAAGTGAAACAAAGAGGAAGAGCGACAACTGTCTGATGCGGCAGCAGGCACAGGAGTGCCATGACCATTCAGACAGGAAGGAAGTGCAATCTCTAAGAGCATGCTCAGCGTTCATTAGTCTGACAGTAACTGGTGATGATCTCCTCCACCACCGTTTCTGTCTGATTCACACCTGCTGTCTTTCACAGTACTCAGGAGGACAGTTTTACATAAATACTTGTCTCCAGACTGAGCTGAGACAGCCTCTGGAGTCTGACAAATGTGTTTTCTTCTCACTGAGGAACACTCCAGCCCTGCCGGTGAGCCCATGACTGAGAAGTCAATGTGAGACAGGAGAAAACTCAGCGCTGCGGCCCGCTTTGCATCAGCTCCGGTGGTTCCAACCTGAGTGATCCCAGGCAGCACAACCCTTTTGAGCCCTGAGTTCCACACCCAATAAAAGGGCCTCAGGGTTGGAAAGCTGAAATGTGGTAAAATTCATGGCATGCCACCAAGGACAAAGCCTGGAAGACAGTAGGTGCTCAATAAATCTTTCCTCCTTCTTCTCTTCTTTTGCTACTATAAACCACAGCTCAGAAAACCAGACGAGTGAAACACATGTGTGGCCAAGTCAGCATTCACCCAACTTCTTCCTCAAGAAAAGGGCCTGAATATAGAGGGGTGCAATGCCTGCAGGACTTCTGCTTCCTTCACAGGGCTGCAGAGACCTAGCAATAGAGATGAAGATTCCTCTGGTGAGACCAATGTTCCGACACGAATCAGACAAAGCAGAAACAGCGAATGGGCTTGGTAAATCTTAACCAGCTCTCATGTCTCAGACAGTCACTCCAGGCAAACAGCCTGTCTACTCATCAGCCCAAGAGGCCCCTCGAGTCTCCCTGTAAAGTCATCTATGATCACTCTGCACCACTCACCTCCACTGGAAAAGGGAGGGTTCCTCAAGTCAACTTATCTACCTGCTTCACACCAGTTTATGAGGAATCACATTCGTTGCTTTACCTTCTCGATGTCTACAAGTTCAGTCTCATAGATCTCAGCAATGGTGATGTGGTGCTTGGCTGCAATTGTAAACCTTCCCTGGGGAAGAAAAAAAAAGACAGTCATATTCCTCTTTTATCTATCTAAACGGCAATCGGTTTAGAAACCAAAGAGTACAACTCTAAGCCATCTCAAAGACTCCACCCCACAGCCGCTCAAGCAAGGCAATGTCTTACCATGTCTGTGTAAATGTCGATGGCTGCATTTAAGCAGTTGATAGCCTCTGAAGCGAAGGCATTTAAGAAAAACAATGAAAAATCCATTCAGTCAAAGAGGGTTCAGGTGGGCCTGTCTTCCTGGCTGTTACTAGAATGTTAAGGAGGCCCCATACGGGGTGGAGGGTGGGCAGGTTAGTTAGTGAGAAGCAAACACAAATCACGCACAAGTCCAGACCCCTCAGCATGCTTTGTCTGGAGCAGCTGCAGTGCAATTTAGGGAACTGGAGCTAGAGTGGTATGGCTCAATTACTCTTAACCTGACAATGAGGACTCCATCCAGGGGAAAGACTGCATTATAAAGAAGAAAAAACCATGGGAGTGTCATCAACACCAATCAGCTATATCCGCTAAAACATAAATGTAAATGCATTCTTCATTGATATCATGTATATATATATATAAAATAATTTTGGAAGATAGTACTTCACAAGAAAGATCACTTCAATAGACTTCATGCAGCCAAAATCAAAAGCACTTTGAAATCCCTGTTCAGACAACTCTTAAGCAAAGTCAACATTTTTTTACATTGTTAAAAGAGGCTAACTTTTGGTGTAGGAAGGAAGGAAGAAAAAAATCTAATAAATGATAGTGCTAATAAATTATATGAATTTTCTAGAACAGTGAGCCAACAAATTTCCCATCACAAAATGGTGGTGTTTATAATGCTGGCATACGGCTGACAGCTCCAAGTTTACTGCTTTTGTTTTAAAAGAGGCAGCAAAGTGAAAAGGCCTGACTGAAGAACTAGAAAGGTAAGAAGATTAACAAAAAGTAAAAGCAATTTCCTCCTAAACTATATAAGAAATGTGGACTCATCATTACACCTTCAAAAATACAGAGAAACAGAACAATAAGTTATCCACAATCCCACTCAAAACCACTGTCAGTATTTTGATGCACTTTTCCTTCCAGCGTTTCCTGGATGCAATTCTGTGTGCACAAACTTTCTTAGGAATTTGAGGTCTCAATTCTCATGTGGTTCTTTAGCTACTATGTGAACATCTGCAGGTCACTGAAGATTCTCTGAAACCAGGGATTTTAACATTTGCGTCATATTATAATACAGTAACAGATTATAACTTTACCATTCTACTCTTACTGCTCATTTAGGCTGTCTTCTGTTTTTCACTTTCGGAAATAAACTGTGATTAGCCCGTGAAATATCTATTTATGTATGATACATTCATAAAAGTTGAAATTTCTGTGTTAAAATGGACTGCTAAAAGGAAAAAGGGAGACTCCATAGCTACCGCTGTCATGTGTGGAAGGGAAGAAGAAACTAATGCTTTTAATGACTAAGCATACACTTCTCTAACTAAAAAAGAAATACCAAAACTTCTAACACTTTAAATACCCAAGTTCATTCTTCCTCAAAACCAATACTTTGAAAAACACGTCTTAAAAATCAGATGAATACCGTGTGAATAAGTTGTTTTAAACTATTGGATATTACAACCTCTCATTAACTGGATCTTCAAACACCCTAGGTACTTAGGAATAAGGGAACATTAGTTTCCCTTAATGAGCAATATACATATTCATACAATTAAGACAGAAATCGTAGATAAAAGTAAAGCTAATCTCCAAAATGTTCTCCAAAATGCAACATAAATGGAGTTTAAACCAGTGCTGACAACTAAACAGCCAAGATAAATTTAACATATTTTCTCCTCATAAAAGTTCCAAATGATTAAAGAAAAATCCCTAAAGTCACCAAAATCTCTGTCATTCCAAAGTACAAAGATTTCTTTCCACCAAGACTCAAAGGTCCAGCAGTGCCACCTGTGGGAAAGGTCACCCACACTGACCCTACTGTCCTAGTTACGCAGAGGCAGAGGTGAACCTTACCTTGAGGGTCTGCCTTTTTGTAAGCGTTTCCAGCGTCCACAAAGCTGGTAGCAGAATCATGTTTGCTCTGAAGCTGCATGTGGAGCTTGGCTGCCAGACAAAATGCATTTCCTGCAGCTGAAGAAGACAAATTACTACAATGAAACACAGAGGAACAAGTATTCCCACAGAACGACCCATGCTCTAGGTGCTAGGCCTACCCCTAGGAAAGTTCCAGTTCACTGAAAAGAAGCATTCTAGTCAGAAGCACAGAAAACGTGACCAACTGCATCTTAGATGTATCTAAAAATAACCAGAATCAAGTCCAGCAGTGATAAGCGCTTCTCTAGGTCCCAGGAGAAGTCCCCAGTGGCACCTGGGCAACAGGCCTCCATTCAATCCCCAGGGCCAGGCCAAGCCCAAGCTCTTCACTTCTGTCCCCAGCACACACCAAACATCGACTGAGGGCTTCAAGCTATGAATGTTTAAAGAAACATAAAACACTGACTGAGACGAAGGATATTTACCTGCCCATCTTTCTATCATACAGTGTCCACTGAACTTTGCTGATAATGTTGAAGTAATTGCTAACGAAGGCTTCACGGACAAAGTAGACTTCTCAAAGAGTGAAAATTAGGCCCATAATTTGAAAATTCGAAGATTTTTCTTAAGTTTATAAGAAAATCTGACTGAAATTTATACAAGGTTTAATCTGTCTTTATTCCACTTTGTGTGAAAATTTGCACATTTCCCTACAGAATCATAGAAGGGGTTGGTTATGGGGTGCTGCCCAGGTCTCTGTCTGGACACGGCACAATGTGAAAGGCTTATGCACTAAAATTTTTCAGAAAAGGCCTGGATCAGGGACCATGGATTCTGAGCAGCAGAAAAGAATGAGGGAAGGAATCCCTAGCAGAGGAGTCACACGAACAAGGAACAAATGCTGGAAGGCAAGAAAGGACTGGAACTGGAGGCCAGTGACAAGCCTCTGCTGCCTGCTGGAGGAGGCATGAATGTGCTGGGGCAAAGGAAGACATGTCAGGCCAGCTCAGGAGGCTTTAAACGTCAACATGAGAAACATGGACGAGGATGAATCCACTTCATCATGAGCTTCTCAGTTCAGAGAGAGTGCCACGGCAGTCCTCAGAAAAATGAGCCCCACGGACTGGGGAGCACAAAGGCCTCTGGAGACAAAGTTCAGTAAGGTCTGCAATAGGGAAGTCACTATCAACAGGAATGGAGGGAAAATAATTTGCTCCACTAGGAAGAGCATGATTAAGAATATCACAAAAGGGGAGTGACGTCAGCATCATGGCAGAGCGAGCTCTTCCCTCAGACACAATGACAAGGACATTCATAAACCAACACAGGGCAGTCATAGAACACAAAGACTTCTGCAGGTGGAGGTGCTGGACCCCTAGGAGGAAGTGGAAGGATGTGAGGAGAGGTCCTCTCCCTCCCTGGCAGCTATCTAGGGTGCGGGACTGCACAGCGCTGAGAAAAGAGAGGGAAGAGGCAGTTCTCCACAGGAACACCTTGCTCTCCAAGTTCCCTCACAGGCTGTGGGGAAGCTCCACAGGAGAAGTTTGAGCTGTTGCAGGGGTCTCTTCATCAAGCCAGTACCCTAGGAGGGCAGATAGCAAGGGCAGAGCCAGAAGGGCTCTGGGATCACACATGGAAAGGAAAGCCTCCTCCCTCCACCAAGCACTCCAGCTTGGCTGGTTGGCCAGAACAACCGCACGTAAGTTAGAAAAGCAGCAGCTGTGAGCAGGTAGTCGCAGATGGGCCCTGTCAGCATAGATTCCAAAGTAAACGCACAGACACCAGGGATCACAGCAGGCTCAGAATACAGAGCTCCTGAGTGGCAGGTGGAATCTGCGACCAGATACCATCACTATGCAAAGGCACAAATCCACCCCATCAAATAGTATGAAGAAATGTATTAATACTCTAGACCAGAAGGAAAAGGAGAAGAACCCAGAAATAATCCTGAAGGCACAGAAATCTACAACCTAAATGACAGAGAATTCAGGGCCGGCCCAGTGGCACAGCTATTAAGTGTGCACATTCCGCTTCGGCAGCCTGGGTTTCGACAGTTTGGATCCTGGGTGCAGATGTGGCACCACTTGGCAAGCCATGCTGTGGTAGGCATCCCACATATAAAAGAGAGGAAGATGGGCACAGATGTTAGCTCAGGACCAGCCTTCCTCAGCAAAAAAGAGGAGGATTGGCAGCAGTTAGCTCAGGGCTAATCTTCCTCAAGAAAAAAAGAAATAAAATTTAAAAAATGACAGAGAATTCAAAATGCTTACCATAAAAAAACCTCAATGAGTTACAAGAAAATTCAGATGGACAGTTCAAGGAAATCAGGAACAAAATTCATGAACAGAGAGAATTCTCCACAAAAGAGATTGGAACTATAAAGAAAAACCAATCAGAAATGTTGAAGATGAAAAACAATAAATGAGATAAAAATCTGGAGTCCTTGAATAACAGAGCTGATGTTATGGAGGACAGAATTAGCAGGTTGGAGGACAGAAATATAGAAATGCTTCGGATGGAACAGGAGAGGCAACTAAGACTAAAATGAAATGAAGAAAGTCTCTGAGAAATATCGGACTCAATTAGGAAATGCAACATAAGGATTACAGGTATTCCAGAGGGGAAAGAGAGGGAGAATGGAGTAGAAAGCTTGTTCAAAGAAATAATAGCTGAGAACTTCCCAAACCTGGGGAAGCAGCTGGAAATACAAGTAAAAGAAGATAACAGAACTCCTAATTATATCAAGGTACAAAGATCTTCTCCAAGTCATATACTAGTAAAACTGGCACAAGTCAATGAAAAGAAAAAATATTAAGGGCAGCAAGGCAGAAGAAAATAACTTACTTAGGAACCCCTATCAGGCTTTCAGCAAATTTCTCAGCAGAAACCTTACAGACCAGGAGAGAGTGGAATGATATATTCAAAAATATGAAACACAAAAACTTTCAGCCAAGAATACTCTATCCAGTGAAAATATCCTTCAGCTACGATAGAGAAATAAAAACTTTCCCAGATAAACAAAAGCTGAGGGAGTTCATCACCACAAGATCCAGCCTACAAGAAATGCTGAAGAAGGTCCTCATACTGGAAAAAAAATAAAAGTGTTTACAAAGCCTCAAGCAAGGAGACAGACAAAATCAGAAAACTGCAGCTCTCTATCAGAACAGGTTAGCAAACACTTAAATATAACATTAAAGATAAAGAGAAGGAAAACATCAAGAATAAATATAATCACTTCATTTTAACCATACACTCACAACACAAAATGGAATAAGTTTTGACAACAATAACTTAGGGAAGAGGAAAGGGATGGAAGCTGCTTAGACTAAGGAAATAAGAGGTTATCAGAAAACGGACTACCTCATCTATGAGATCTTTTATACACATCTCAGGGTAACCACTAAACAAAAATTCAGAACAGGGACACAAATGATAAAGAGAAAACTGAGAAAACCATCATAGAGATCTACCAAACTGAACTGGTAGTCCAAAATACACGGGATGAGAAACAAGGGAAATACAGAACAAGCAGAAAAATAACTCATAAAATGGCAGCATTAAGCCCTCACATATCAATAATCACTCTAAATGTAAATGGATTGAATTCTACAATCAAAAGACATAGAGTGGTTGGCTGGATTAAAAAAATCAGACCCAACAATATGCCTCCAGGAAACACATCTCAGCTCTAAGGACAAAGAGAGTCTTAGAGTGAAAGGATAGAAGACGATACTCCAAGCTAACGGCAAATAAAAGAAAGCAGGTGTTGACATACTTATATTAGACAAAGCAGACTTCAAGATAAAAAAGCAATGAAAGACAAAGAGGGGCAGTACATAATGATAACAGGAACACTTCACCAAGAAGACATAACATTTATAGATACTTATGCACACAACACACGAGCACCAAAGTATATAAAGCAACTATTAACAGAGCTAAAAGGAGATATTAACAGTAATGAAATAATAGTAGGGAACCTTAATACCCCACTGACATCAACGGATAGCTTATCCAGACAGAACATCAACAAGGAAATAGTGGAATTAAATGAAAAACTAGACCAGATGGACTTAATAGATACATATAGAACGCTCCATCCCAAAACAGGAGAATACGCATTCCTCTCAAGTGCACATGGAAGATTCTCAAAGATAGACCAAATGTGGGGAAACAAGGCAAGCCTCAATAAATTTAAGACTGAAATCACATCAAGCATCTTTTCCAACCATAATGCTATGAAATTACAAGAAAATCAACTACAAGAAAAAAGCTAGGAAAGTCACAAATACATGGAGACTAAACAACGTGCTACTGAACAACCAATGGATCATTTAAGAAATTTAAGGAGAAACCAAAAAATATCTGGAGACAAATGAAAATGAAAATACACCATACCAACTCATACAGGATGCAGGAAAAGCAGTCCTAAGAGGGAAATTCATAGCAACACAGGCCACCTTCACAAACAAGAAAAATCTCAAGCAATCTTAAACTATGTATAACAGAATTAGAAAAAGAACAAAGCAAGCCCAAAATCAGCAGAAGGGGAGAAATAATAAAAATTAGAGCAGAAATAAATGAAACCAAAACCAAAAAAAAAACAGTAGAAAGGATCAATGAAACTAAGAGCTGGCACTTTGAGAAGAGCCCATCTGAGCTGCCAGTCAGCTGGTACTTTCCTAAACTGCCACTTGGAAGTTAGCTGCTGCCCAAGTACCCCAGGTGCCTGCCCACTACACTGCCAGCAGCCTTGGCCTCTCTTCTGGGACTCCCAGCCTCATGGTTCACCAGTGTAAGGGTTAAAGCCTGGCAGACTGCAGGAGTTCTGCAGTCCCAGCTCCAGCTGGGAGCTAGTGTCCTCTCTGATTGATCAGTGCCTGTGTCATGCTGGTGGTTAAATATTTTCAAAACCGCCTAGGTACTCTTTTTATCTTGCACAGAACAAGAGTTGAACCTGGGCAGAATGGCTCAGGAATTTGTCCTGCCTCTTTTCCCTCAGCTAAGCCCAGAAACCTGAATGGGAATTACGTGGTTACCTCTGGAGAGGGGTTAGGACAAGGGATGGCAGCTGAAGCTTTAGTGGGATTGAATGTTTTATTTCTTAAAAAGAAATTTAAAGTAAATGTTTAATACCAGCAGTGGGTACTTAGGCATCTGCCACTACTTTCTGTACTTTTCTGAATGTTTATGACAAACCGTTTTTTAAGTACAACAGATTCTGTGATATTCTTTTTTTTATGCTAGTTTCAGAAACTTTATTTATTGAGGTCATAATAGTTTATAACATTGTGAAATTTCAGTTGTACATTATTATTTGTCAGTCACCATATAAATGCGCCCCTTTACCCCTTGTGTCCACCCCCTGACCCCCCTCTGGTAACCATTAATCTGATGGGTTCTGCCTAAGAGTCTAGTAATAATTCGGATTTCCCAAGTCAAGTGCTTAGAACAGCCTGGCTCCAGTTACACACGTCCTCCCTCTTCCACCAGTAATTTCATTTTACACAGTTTCTCTATGTTGACTGTCCCAGAACCAATCATGGTCCATCCATTCCTGGATGAGTGTAATACCATAGTATCCAGGCTCGCCCAGGCTATCTCCTTTCCCCAGGCAATACTAAGAGCTTTAATTTTAAAATTTCGTGCTCCCACCTTCCAAAATTAACTGCTGGCTGACTTTTTCACTCTGAGCACTCATTTCAATCACTGCTAACAAATGCCAGCTGGACCTCTCCAAACTTGGAAGTGTCTTTAAAGGGGCATATTTTATTTAATTCTTTTTGAGGAAGACTAGTCCTGAGCTAACATCTGCCACCAATCCTCTTTTTTCTGAGGAAGATCGGCCCTAAGGTAACATATATGCCCATCTTCCTCTATTTTGTATGTGGGACGCCTGCCACAGCATGACTAGATAAGCAGTGCACAGGTCCACGTCCGGGATCCAAACCTGTGAACCCTGGGCCACCAAAGCAGAGCACGTGAATGTAACTGCTACACCACTGGGCCAGCCCCTAAAGGGGCATATTTTAAACCAAAGTCACACAACTTCTCAGGGTCAATTTTCTCAATGGTAAAACTGGTTTAATAGCCTGCCAGGATGAGTTCTCAAAACTGACTATCATATGAGTTAGCTTAATCTTTATAGAAGAACTTTTAAAACTATCAAGAGATGCAGTGGTGTTATGATCACCATCACTGCAACATGGAAATAATTCTAAAAAACCTAGTATTTATGCATTCACTACACAAATATCCTGAGCATCTACTATCTTGCAGGCATCATCTACTATGTTGCTGACACTAGTCCAGGGGCTGCAAATATAGCAGAAAAGAAACACAAAAACATCCTGGCTTTCTAAGGTTTACATTCTAATGAAGGATAGCACATAATAAAAACACACAAACAACATAAATGAATAAATACATTTCATTTATTTTGGTTAGACTGTAGAAAGGGGAAGGGGGTTTCCCAGAAGGAGAAGACTGCTATCTTTAAAAGGGATGGCCAGGGAAGACCTCACAAAGAAGACAACATTTGAAGAAGGACCTGAAGGGAGCAGGGAACCAGCTATGCTCTATTTGGAGAAGGGAACGTCAGAAAGACGGAACAGCACATGTAAAGGCTCTGAGGAGGGGGCCAGGTGAACCAAGGGAGTGGGTAGGAGATGAGGTCAGAGACTGGAAGGGACTGGGGAGATCAGGTAGGTCTGCGAAGGCCACTGTTAAGGACTTCAGATTTTATTTGAAATGACATGATTGGACTCATGTTTTAACAGGATTACTTTGGTTTCTTCATTAAAACAAACTAGAAAAGTACAGAAGCATGGAGATGTCAGCCCAGGAAGAGACGACTTCAATGGGGGAAGACACAAAGCCTCCTGCGTTATATAAATGTTAACAGCCCTTCTGAAATGGAATTTCCAACGGTTAGAACATCTGGTCACCAGATAAAATACATAAGTGGTCTTTTTAGATAAGATCACTTTTTACCTATGATTACAGGAACTGAACAAAAGATGGGAATGCTGAGACAATACTCTTTTCTCCTCCATTTTTTTCAACACATTATAATTCAAGCATTAAGTGCATTTTGAAAACATAACATTTCCTTTTTACTCAAAACTAAACCTATAAAGAATTTTAGAGCCAGAAAGGACCTTTCAGATTCATCTAGTTGAACAGCATTTGCTTCATTGAAATGATTTTAGTGTCAGCCTTAAAAGCAAATGAGTAAATCAACACACTGTATTCCTTAAACTTACACAATGTTATGTGTCAGTTATAGCTCATCAAGGCTCGGGGGGAAAAAGCAAATGGGGAAACGGCCTTGTAGAGGGCAATGGCCCAGTTTTAGATCATGCAGCAGGTGCAAGCTGGGCTAGAGACCCATCCCTGCTCTGGCTGAAAGTCCTCTCCATTTTCTCTACAGAAACACCCTATCGCTGGGCCATGACAAGCCTCTTTTTCCAGGGGTAGGGGATGAATTTGTTTCTCTAATCAGTGTTAGAAAGAGCAATCCCCTCTCAGATGAATAAAAAGAACAATTCTGTTGATTTTGTTATGTGTAATTTCACTGGGAAAGGCATTACTTTAAAGAATGATGAGTCTTATGGGATTTATATAAATAACACCCCCACTGTCACATTTCTCAATGGAACCACAATCAGTTATCACAGTGCTGTTCTCAGAGTAAGGAATGGTTAGAAATTCTCAAACAATGTTTAGGTAAAGAAAAGCAGACATTTCTCTTTACCCTACTTGTTTTCAATGAGTTTTACTACAGTTTTCAATCCTTATGGTACTGGATTTAGTTGAGCACTTTAGTAAGAAGCAAAGATTACTCTTCTTAATTCCAAGTTATTTTTTTTTTTTTAAAGATTGGCACCTGAGCTAACATCTGTTGCCAATCTTTTGCTTTTTTTTCTTCTTCTCTCCAAAGCCCTCCAGTACATAGTTGTATGTTCTAGTTGTGAGTGCCTCTGGTTGTGCTATGTGGGACGCCACCTCAACATGACCTAACGAGCGGTGCCACGTCTGCACCCAGGATCCGAACTGGCAAAAGCCTGGGCCGCCGAAGCGGAGTACACAACCTTAACCACTCAGCCATAGGGCTGGCCCCCAAAGTAATTTGAACACTTTTTAATTACCACATGTCTATTGTATTAAGTGGTTTATAAAAACTAAAACAGAAATAGTGTCTGTGCTTAAACTTTAGCCAGGATTTCAGGTTTTGTTCACTTAGATCAAGGTCCTTTTCTCCCAGCCCACAGAGGCCACACCAGTTATTCAGCACTGACACCTGTCTCAGAGCCAGCAGTCTTTTTCTAAGGGGAATGCAGCCAGTCATTTCCTCCTTCAAAATGAATTTAAAGTTATTTATCTGAAATGTAAACAAACAAAAACTTTATACATACCACTCCAATTTTTAGCCATCTTGAACATATTTGCAGCTCTGGTATACATTTCACAAGCTTCTTCTATTCTTGTGTTTCCTCTAAGAAAAATTTAAAAATGAGGTTAAGTTTCACCATAACAACCATCCATGTCCCTAATCCTCCCTCCCTCCCTCAAATAACAGACATTTAATGGGCACTTACTATGTGCCAGATAAGCATTACAGAATCTTAACAGCTGCTAAAAGGTGGTGATATTATCTCCGTTTTCCAGATGAGGCATGTGAAAGTAAAATAACGAGCTCAAGGTCACACGGCAAGGATGCCAGAGAACTGAGACTCAAAACACAAACCTGGCTGACCCCAGAGCCCACGTCCTTAACCACAGTCCTTTCCACACATGAAAACTGAAGTTTTAAGTCAGTCTGAGAAATCAGAAGTACATTTTTCAAAGGAGATTAAATTTTGAAGGATAAGGACATCTTTACCTTGCTGATTTCCAAGAGTTTAACATTATGTTTATTCATACTTAAAAACAAAAACAAAACCTGAAGCCACAGCATAGGAGAAAGCACCATGCTGTGTCACAGTTGTATTATCTATCAGGGGACAAGCCCTTCTCCAACGTGGAAGGGGCCTCAGGGTCCAGCTCCTCACCCTATGTGGAAATGCATTTTTCAACATCTTGAGAGGAGGAATTCCATTGCTGCTTCAGTGCATACTGTTCTGGAAAGCTCTTCACCAGGTAGCTGATTCCATTGACAGACAGCTTTAGCTGCTTAGAAATTTCTTCTTACATAAAGGCAAAAATAATCCTCTCTAACTTCCATCAGTTTTTTAATTCAACCTTGTTTTCACTAAGCTAAGCTAAGGCCTCTCAATGAATGATGTTTCTCTATCTTGTCTCTCTACATTATAAACATAAAATAATCAAAGAACCAAGACAAAGTAGACTGTGCAGTACACATAATGAGGAACTCAGAGTGGAGTAGGCCGTAAGGACTAAGAGACAGGAGGGGTCAAGCCTGACCCTTGGAGAGTGGGCACAATATGAATATGAGCGAATGCATATGTTTATGCCAGGAACTCACATAGGCTCCAAAGTCAAGCAGAGGGGTACGCACAGCTGAGTCCCAGCGCAGCCGACCTGGGCATACATTTAGGCTCAGATGTGACTTGCGCCTTAGGCAGTAACTACTAACTGACCCTAGGCTAGTTCTTTAACTTCTTTGGGCCTCCGTTTTTGCATGCGTAAACTGAAAATAATATGACCTATACTTTGGGGTTATTATGAAGATCAAAAGAAATAATCCAACAGTTTCCAATGCAGGGTTTGACTGAGAATAGGTACGCAATCAGGATGATTATTATAATTAGATTCATGTATTGAAGGCATACAAACTTTAGGGAATATTTGTACATCTGATAAGGGACTTGTCTTACAAGGGACTTGTATTTAGAAAATACAAAAAACTCATACAACTCAGTAATAAAAACACTAATAACTCAATTAAAAAATGGGCAAAGGATCTGAAGAGACATTTCTCCAAAGAAGATACATAAATAGCCAATAAAGACATGAAAGGATACTCAACATCATCAGGCATCAGGGAAATGCAAATCAAAACCACAAATGAGATACTACTTGACTCCCACTAGGTTGGCTAGAATCAAAAGACATAATAACAAGTGTTAAAGAGGATGTATAAACCAGAACTCTCCTATACTGCAGGTACAAATGTGAAACGGTACAGCTGCTTTGGAAAACAGTTTGGCACTTGCCCAAAAGGTTAAACACAGAGTTACCATATGACCCAGCCATTCCACTCCCGGGTACACACCCAAGAGAAATGAAAACATTATGTCCACACAAAAACTTGTATTCAAATGTTCACAACAGCATTATTCATAATTGCCAAAAAGTGAACTTAAATGTCCATCAACTGATGAGTGGACAAATAAAATGTGGTATATATATACAATGGAATATTACTGGACCATAAAAAGGAATGAAGTACTGATAGACACTACGACATGGATGAGCCTTGAAAACATGTTTAGTGAAGACGGTCACAAATGAGCACACATTGTATGATTCCATTTATATGAAAGGTCTAGAATAGGCAACTTCACAGACAGAAAACAGATTATTGGTTGCCTACAGCTAGGAGTACTAGAGAAAAATGGAGGGGCAGGGTATAGTTTCTTTCTGGGGAGATGAAAATGTTCTAAAATTGAATGTTGTGTTGGCTCCAAGCTCTGTGAATATACTAAAAACTACTGAATTGGACACTTGAAATGGGTGAATTGTATGGTATGTGAATTATATCTCAATAAAGCTGTATCCCCCCTCCCCAAAGACATCTTTAGGTGCTATGTCACACATTGAATGACAGGATGGCAACAATCACATCCACAAACTGTCAGAATAACCAAAGCCTTCTCTCACACCTTCATGTCCCTTTTTCATCACTTCAAATCCACATTTTTAAAAAAATACAATTAGATAATTTCCCCAATGGAAAATTCCTAACATGAGAGAGTTTTCAATCTTAGTCATAGCTCCTTAGAGCTAACAAAGGCTTGTCACTTTCTTGTCTCTTCTTTTTCTAAAGCGTACTAGGAATTCTGAACTGTAATTATAGTGCAATCATTCTTATTAAAGGTTTCCAAATAAAACTAGCTTAATTAAAATGTACTCTATCCTATTATTTTCAGAGATAGATTCAGCTAGGAGTAATAGAACGCCTATATTATGCTAGGTTTTATGACGGATATTTCCACATACAACAACCATGAAAGACACTATCTCCATTATACAGAAGAAAAAACTGTATCTGGAGGTCAATAGCTTTCCCAAGGTCATCCAGCCAAGGTCAGTGGTGGTGACACCTGACTTCAAGTTCAGTGGTCTTTTTATAAAAATAACGAATGAACCCTGCTAGACTCAAGACCCTCACCTCTACTAAAACAGAATCACCAGAAATATTTTCATTTTAAAAGCACTAGAGAAACTCACTTGTCAGAAACAGAACTTTAACAATTCATGAAAAAATGTACTTTTGAAATTACTCCAAATGTATACTGTTTTATATTGTGAAAGTTAACTTTTATAAGTTTTAAGGGCAAATATTCAGAATTCACATTCAAATAATTCGACTGATTGTTATCTAGAGTCCCTGTGGTGAAACAGAAGATCCTTGAAAACAGAAACAAGTCTCTGTGAGGGAACCTACATTATAGTGATACAACATAAGTACATGACCACAAAATGAGCCCAATTATTTTGGGGGATTATGGTATCCTGACCTTGAAGGAGAAAACACTTTCTCTACTATGAAAGAAAACAGTGACCGGCCTGCATAAGAACCACCATCAACACTCCCTCACCCCCAAACCACCACAACCAACCCCCATGCCCAACCCCACCATGCAGCCCCAGCCGACACCACCTCCTCTCAATTCCAGGGGCAAAGCCGACTCTCTCCTTTTCTTGGTCATGCTTACTCAGGAAACATTCACTGAAGTCAATATGCGTTAGAAAATACCAAAGAAAGTTCTTGCCCATGAGGAGATAAGAATGCTGAGGAAAGAATATTAAACTTCAGGGCTGGAAAAAATGTGACAGTGTCCAACCCCCACCATGTTCCACTGAGAAAAGATGGTCACAACCACAACATGTCCCAGCAGGAGCCAGTGAACAGTAGAGGCATGCCTTGAGCCTGGCCTGCAAGTCCTCGCCTCTCTGCACTACCCCATCCTGCCTATTCCCATCGAGATGTCTGGCGGAAAAAAAAGTCAACCCAGGAAAATTATAGCCCGTTATTTCAAAGAGCTCAGATGACATCCTACATGCAGACAAATCATTGATCTTTTAAAAACTAATTAATCTTCAAATAATCTGAAGTCTTGCTTTGTCCTCATCTTGAATAGAACTATTTTGGAGCATTGTAAAACACTGCCAACTATACTACAGGCTCTTTTACAACTGTGGGTGGGAGGAGGGAAACTTTTTTCTTTTAGGAAGATTAGCCCTGAGCTAACTGCTACCTTCAAAGTAGATTTCGTGAAGACTAATGGCATACCGATCATGCCATGTTCCTGGAAGAAAAGGTGGCAACTGCAGAGAAACAAACAGAGCTGCTTCTAAAATCACAAGACAGTAGAGTAGAAATAGCATATAAAGCAACAGTGACAGTGCTGTTGTGATGTGAAAGCAGAACTAGAGACGAAATTCAGCTCTAGCATCAGAATACCCTGAAGAGATATCAAACTTTGTCAAAAGACTGAACACAGGGATCGTTTTAGTTGTGCCTGGGACCCTCAGGGGAAAACCCCACCAGCTCCTTCTCCTATTTATGAGCAACACCACTTTAGCCACTAACTAGACGGATGCTCTGAGGAGAGGGACCAGCACAGGGCCTGGCACACAGGCCTCAATAACCAGGTGGTCTCAGCTACACCTTACTGGTATAAGTGACTCAACCCAGTTAAGGCCTCTATATAAACTTAAGATTCTGGCAGGTGGGTGCAGAGAGCTACTCGTCTTGTGGCCACCCAAGAAAGCCTCATAAATAAGTGCCCTTGCTTATTAAATCCACCACCTACCAATCTGGAGGGATTTGCCTCTTTCTTCAGTTTCTCTTTGCCCTCAGTGTATGGGGGCTAGCTTCAGATTACACCCAGGAACAACATTTTTCAAGAAACTCAAGGAGAAAAAAAGTGTGAGCCAAGGATTGTATAGCCAGCCAAGCCATCCATTATGCACCATTGACAGAAGCAAGAATTCAAGGCACACTGCAGTAACTTCTAACTAAGAGATGACTAGGGAACATCAGTAAAAAGACTGGTGGTGGTGGCACTGAATATGTTTTGCTATAGATCCAAGACTAAAATAAGTAAGGGACAAGGGTAGAAAAGTAATATGAAAATGTCTGTTCTGACAAAGTACAAATAACTGAATCCTCTCCTCCACATGCGTGTGCGCGCACATACACACACCCCTTGGAGAAAGGGGGAAGTAGAATATACTCACTGACTAGCACATAGGTAATGGGTATTTTCCAGAACAGACAAAATACTAGGGGCCTAAGTAAGGAAA